GAACAGACTACATCTGAGTACAGATCAAGCAGAGAGAGAATAATTATTATGTGTTGTGCAAATGCCACTGGTTTACACAAACTTAACCTTTGTGTTGTGGGGAAAGCAAAAAAACCTCGTGCATTCAAAGGGACTGACCTTGCAAACCTTCCAGTGACTTACTTCAGTCAAAAAGGTGCGTGGATAGAACAGTCTGTCTTCAGACAGTGGTTTGACAAATATTTTGTGCCACAAGTACAGAAGCATTTGAAATCCAAAGGACTTCTAGAAAAAGCAGTGCTTCTTTTAGATTTTCCCCCGGCACACCCAGATGAAGAAATGTTGCATTCAGATGATGGCAGAATCGTTGTAAAATATTTGCCACCAAATGTCACGAGTCTGATTCAGCCCATGAGCCAGGGAGTTTTAGCCACAGTGAAAAGATACTACCGAGCAGGACTTCTCCAGAAGTATGTGGATGAAGGAATTGACCCAAAAATGTTTTGGAAGAACTTGACAGTGTTGGATGCAATTTATGAGGTTTCAAGAGCTTGGAACATGATAAAATCAAGTACTATAACCAGAGCATGGAAAAAACTTTTCCCTGGCAATGAAGAGAATGCAGGTATGAATATTGACGAAGGAGCCCTTTTAGCAGCTAACTTAGCAACAGTTCTGCAGAGTACAGAAGACTGTGAGCACGTTGACATTGAGCATATTGATCAGTGGTTTGATTCTCGGAGTAATGACTCCAGCTGTCGGGTGCTAACTGGAAGGGAAGGGGCGGAGCACCAGGCCAAGGCTGTTGAAAAGAAGCCTTTCAGTAAGGTTAGAAAAGCAGAACTGAATCCAGAGAAGCATATCAGCCACAGAGCAGCACTTGAATGGACTGAAAATTTACTGGATTATCTCGAGCAGCAAGATGACATGCTTCTGTCCGACAAACTGGTCTTACGGAGGCTTCGCACCATCATAAGGAGAAAACAGAAAATCCAGAATAACAAAAGTCATTCTTAGTGCTCGTCTGTGTTTCAGTGTATTTGCATCTTGGTGATTATCTGCAGTGGAACTTACCTTGTTTGAAGTGCTGTGGGTTGCAAGGCCAAATATATTTTATCAAAGATTTTAGGGATAGATGCCATTGTGGATGACTTAAATTACAACTCCTTAATGTTGTCTCTCCTAATTGAGCATTGCCATGTACTTGTCTGTCTACCACTTCTGCTCTGTATTATACTAATTAGATCATAAGGCACCTGAGACTGGGCGCCTTGTGGCTGTTTGGTGCCTAAATTTCAATGTGTCTAATATAGGATCATGCACACTATCAGCACTCAATAAATCTGACTGAAGCTGAATTTTTATGACTGTCTCTGAACTTCAGTTTCTAAATTGAAGTATGTGTGAGGGAGGATTCACTTCTCTATTTTTCTGCCACTGAAAATCTTAGGAGAGCACAACAAAATTTGTGTTTGAAGTATTTCACTTGTGACAGCAAAGAACTAAAGGAAAATAGTTTACAGACTTCAGTATAGCATTTCTGTACTTAGTAGTAGTCATGTATTCAGTGGCTTAGTTTGGCCAGCTCCGATTATAGTGAGGGAAGAAGAAATAAGTTTAAAATGTCCCCTGGGGAACAGTTTCACACTTCATTTTTATCCTACTTGGCAATAAAGAGAGTTCCTTCATCTTGTGAAAAGAATGCTGTCTCTATTCTAGGAAAATAAATTTCAGTTCTAAACCTGTTGTCAAAGGTAAGGATTAAATATTTTTATGTCTTTTTGATTTTGTACAGATATGACAGTTTTTATTAAGCTATTTGACAGTTCTTACATACTTCCAACTTACAACGTATGTCATTGGCTTTCATACAGTGTATTTATTACATGAAAAGTAACACTGAGAATATAAGCATCTGTAGAAATTGTGCAACCAGCACAAAACAGTGGGCTGACATTAAGTAGAACATGACAGACATACCATGGAAGATGGCTAGTCACTCACACTCCCTCCCCCATCTGTCAAATAGAGATGATACGTGATGTGGAGAGTTTTTGTGAGGTGTAAGTGAGTTAATTTATGGATTTTAAATAACATGGACTTTAAAACTAACACTGTTGAATATTAGCTACTGCTACTTCATTGCAGAAATTAGGAGTTTTGAAAATATGCCAAACAAATGCAAGTCTGTGGCTGAAAGTGATGTTGCTGTATTAGGAGCACCCTTCCATGGGAAGTGTGATAAAAGAGACACAAGTAATTGGTTTCAGCTGAAATATGCTTTGTGCCAGTGAAAACTGAAGGATTAATTTAGGAATCATTTACTGTCTACTGGGAGGCATAGTTAGGTTTGCAGGCATGTTAAGATATCTTAGGTTGCATTATAATAGGACATGAGAATGAAATTACAGTTTCTTTCCCCCAGAGCTGTTACCATATTGGTAATAAGTAGACTTTGGCTTTGTTCGTAGAATGAAATCTGTGTTACTTATCCTGGGATAATTCACTGAAGTTATAAAATACCTTTAAAGTGGATAAGATAGTAAGCAGGACACTGAATATTTTATCAACCTAAGGTAGTACAGGATAAGTAAAAAATCAGGGCCAAAGAAATATCACAGGAGACCCTGGGCACAGTAATTTAGTCCCATCATGTATAACAGACTTCACTGTGATTTGATTTCAGGGGAGTATAGACCCCTTTCTGATAATTTTTCTTTGATTAGCTCTTGGAAGGCTGCTTTTTTGAGCTGAAGCTTTGTTTTCTAGAAGGACTCTTACAGAAGACCTCTAAGAATTCACTTTTCCTGGGAGAATCCATGGTCATGATTAAGACCACTGCCTCAGTCTACACAGTTAATTTCACCTTCCTCAGAGTCTTGATGAATGGGACTGAGCATAAGTAAGTTCTGAGACTTGGCTTCTTGAAGACCAAAGGAATCTGAAACTCGATAATGGTAATGACTTGGGTTTGAATACTGCTTTGCATTTTCCACAATGATTTCTTCTAACAAAAAAACTTTTCAAACTTCCTTCACTCTAATATTGAAATAGTTTGATCTTTTGCATTATAAACACAGATATAAATTGTGCATTCCAACTGCATAATTCATTATAATTCAAAAATATTTTTCCCTTCCAGATACTGTAGTATATTAATTTCTCTAGAAAGACACAGGATGGCTGTCCTAATTAGCAACATGTGCTTTGTATGAATCCCAGGTTGAAAAGCACAGATATATCAGAGTACTTCAAAAAGTGTGTGGAAAAATGGGAATTCAAAGATAAGTTTACTTTGGTGCAAAAAAATCTTGGAAGTCCAGTGTGGGGAGCAACTCGGACTAGACTAAGTTACTGGAATTAAGACTTATTCTATGCATCTGCTCTCCCACAATATGGCGCTGGGAGAGGAGTAAACAGCTTCTACGCAGCTGCCTCTCGCCAACTTGAGTGATGACCTGCAGGAGCTGATCCTGTTCCTGATTGGAGGAGAGCAGCGTACTCGGCGTGTGGGTAGCAGAGTTGGGATTGGTGGAAGAGGACTATAAAGGAGGAGAGAGACAACATGCATCAGGAACATCTAAGGAGAACACCTGAGGAACATCTGAGCAGCCCCCGAGAGAGCCGGCCGGTGGTGTGCCGCTCCCCTGCGGAAGTGGGGAAAGTGGCAGGGGGAACTGCCCTTCCACAGAGGTGGAAGGGTCGGCAGCCAACCCGGGAAGAACCAGCAGCAAACCCGGGGAGGGCCGAGCAGACAAAAGAACAGCACAGGGTCCTGTGTCGTTCCTCCACGAAGAGGGGGAGCGACAGTCCAGGCATGAATTTTTCATAGTACACATCTCTGTGAATTTTTGAAGGGCCCTTGTATGTGCTGTCATTTGATTTTGTGCACCTCAAGGGACAGATCTGCAGATCCTCACTATTGGTAATAGTTATAAAAATTCATATATTTTAGAGGATTTGAGAGACTAACAGAACTCCAACTAAAGGGAAAAGTGGCAATTTAGAACATATTTTTCTTCATTTGTATAGTGAGGCTGATTATCATTTCATAATTCAGTCTCAGTGCAAAGGAGGATGCCTGGAAAACTTTGGATGCCAACTCGGCAGGGCACAGATCAGTAGACACAGTCATGTCAGGCAAAATTCTGGGATTATAATAGCTGTTTCCCTGGGATTTATTTTGCTTTCAGTCTATTTCAGAGTGAGTTATACAGATACTTGATGAATTTTCTGGGAAGGCTCATGGTGGTCTCAATGGCACAGCTGACATGAAGTAAGACACAGAATTGCTCAAATGACAGGCTCAGAGACGCTCTTCCTCTGCACTGTGGCCAGAACCTTGCCCAAGTATTAGCAATTAAAGAAAGGACCTGCACTTCTAATTTGTGCATATTCAGGATGGCTGTCTCCAGTTATCAGCTAAATATTTGCACAAAGTTGGCCTTTTTTTTAAATGCTGAGTGTCTTAAGCAATATCTGCAAAATTATGTGCCTCATATACCAACTATGATCTCTATTCCAATTAAATAACAAAACAGTTAGGGCCAGTGCTGTGGCATAGCTGGCAAAGCTGCCACCTGCAGTACCGGCATGCCATATTGACATGGGTTCAAGACCTTACTGCTCTACTTCTTATCCAGCTGTCTGCTACAGTCTGGGAAAGCAGGAAGATCGCCCAAGTGTTTGGGCTCCTGCACCTGCATGGGAGACGCAGAAGAAGCTCCTGGCTTTGGATGGGACCAGCTCTGACTGTTGCTGCCATCTGGGGAGTGAACCAATAGATGGAAGACCTCTCTCTGCCTCTGGTCTCTGTAACTCCACCTTTCAAATAAAAAAAAATAAGTCTTTGTGAAAAAACACAGCAATTAAAATCTTTACCCATCTGTAGCCTAAAATTGTGTTGCATGCCTCACCCTTGCTCCCTTTAACAAAGTGGCCAAACAGAAGGAGGATGGTTATTGAAGGCACGCAGATTGAAGCGCAAACATCAGCTTCTCAGCTCTTTCCCTAGGTAACCTGGACCTCTTTGAACTTCATTTTTTTATACGTAAAAGGATGGAAGGTTTAACAGGCACACTTCAGGGATTCCTAAGTGCTAGCCATTAACTCCACAGCTGTTCCTCAAGAGCCTCTGGCCTGGAGTATGAGTCATAGACTGACAGTGAAGGTGCAGAACTCCAGGGGACCCAGGTGTCCATATTGAGGTCCAAGGCACTGAGTCATCTCTGGCTGTGATCACTTGGGTGTGTGCATAGGCAGGAGGGCAGTGCTGAGTTCCCCAGCACCAAGGACTGCAGTGTATGCTTCAGTCACCACAGGGGCCTGTCAGTCAAAATGAAACAGATGGGGCTTGCTCTAGCCACAGTCTGGGATAACAGAGCTCAAAGAGAAAAGGGGTTTTCCAAGCAGTTCCAGACAGACGTGCGAGATGAGAGCTCATACACTGTAAGCAGAAATACAAACTGCAATGCAAATGTAGAGCAGAAACTGGAGCAGCTGACATAGACCCACGAAGCAGACACGGAGCAGCAGCAGCACAGGCCACTATCCAGCTAACGAGTCCAGGCGCCATGGCCTGGCTCCCAGCTGCTGCGTGGGAGTTACAGTGCCCTTTCACTCACAGGCACCCCTGCTTAGAAGAGGAACTGGGTGGTTTCCCTACCGGTCAAGTGCTAAAAGAAAGAGAACGAAGGTGATCTTCTGAGGTCACACCAGCAGCTGGTGGCCACTCAAGGAGCAGAAGTCGAGGCAATGTGGCATCCTCACACTGCCAAGCGCATGAGCTCCTTCCAGGCAGTGTATTGCCCTTGGAGGGCTGCACTGCCATTCCAATCCTGCCTCATCCTGGGGCCCAACGTGGCACTTCCCTCCTTGCCAAGGTGGGGAATCCCTTGTTGAAAGTCTTTCCCCTGGAACACATAAGTGTACCCAATTCACGTGCCGAATGCTTGCTATGTGCCAGGAACAGTGCTGTGTGTTTTGCAAATCAGCATCTGATTTGTGATTCTCAACCCCAATCCTGTGAAGGATAATACACCCCTGCTTCTGAGAGTGCTCAAAGGGTGACTCCATCAATGTTTCCTGTCCTAGAGATCTCAGCCCTTGTAAGAAGCTGGAGTCCTCCAACCCCCGTGGGCATCCTGCTGCAGGAACCCACGAGGCACTCCATCAAGGCCTTCCTTAAAATCATTTCTTTTAAAGTGAAGAATGAGAGAGAGAGCCCACTCCTTAAATCCTCACAGTGGCAGGAATGGGGCCAGGCTGACCTGGAAGCTGGGAATCCAATCTCACGCAAGTGCAGAAACCCAGCTACTTGAGCTATCACCACCGCCTCCCGGGATCTGCACCAAGAGGA